GTCGTGCCCATCACCTCTGCAGCAAACAGCACCAGAACAAAGTGCATTTATTCTGGCATTAAATGTGCATTAAATGTAGGTGGGTCCAGGCAAGGCACCACCAGAAGCAGCTTTGTGGCCATTTGGCATCAGGAGGGGACAAGGAGGCAGCAGAGGCTGGGGGAGATCAGGGCAGAGCTGGTGCCCCACACCCACCCTGTGCCTCCACTTGTGGTGCTGCTGCAGGATGGGCACTCCCAAAACTGGTCCATCCCTTGTCCATCAGGAATGACCTTGGAGCAATCCCAAACCCAGGCTGTCCTCTATCCATTGGGAATGACCTTGGAGCAATCCCAAACCCAGGCTGTCCTCTATCCATTGGGAATGACCTTGGAGCAATCCCAAACCCAGGCTGTCCTCTATCCATTGGGAATGACCTTGGAGCAATCCCAAACCCAGGCTGTCCCCCTGTCCATCAGGATTCCACTCTGGAGCAATCCCAAGCCTGGTCCATCCCTGTGCCCATCAGAACCCACACTGGAGCCTCTCCACAGGACACCCCAGCCCTGAAGGCAGCAGAAGGAGCCCCTGGAGCAGTTCAGAGCCCCCAGGCCCCATCCCAGACTGAATTTCTCTCTCAGCCATCCCCAGGCACATTTTCCTGGCACTTCCTTTGAGCTGCCCTCCCCAGTTAAACTCAATTTAGGGAATTGTTAAAACCACACCACACTGGCAACACAAACCACCCGCAAAGGACAGAAGCTCCCCAGATCCCCCTTTTTCCCTCTCCAGGCTGTTTCCCATCACAATTTCCACCCTTCAGCCCTTCCCCACCTGCTCCCCTCCAGACAGGTCCCTGCTCCCCCCCAGACTGTCCCAACCACCCTATTGTGGCTGTGCTATCAGGGATGATTTGTGGTGTGTGGGATTATTGCTGCCAGGACAAGGAGGCAGAAAACATGGTCCTAACAGGATGCTGAACCTTCCAGTGCTGCCTCCATTTTCACCAGTACAACCCCCAGTTTCACCAGTACAACCCCCTGCTCTCAGGAGCTGGTCTGGATTTGCACCAAGTGCTATTCTGGGAAATTATAAAATCAAACCAGTTCCTGTTGGTTCTTGTCTGATCTGAGTAAAAATGAGTGGCCAGCTATAAATAGATCTGATTGAGTGACATCTCCAGGGCTTCCTGCCTGCCTTTCCTGTGTCGTGGGGCACAGACCCGACTGATTTCACGTGGGAGGTGTTTTTTTATGGGTGCATCTTCACGTCATCACACCAACTTGCCAAGGTGCCATCACCAGAGGAGCCCTGGGCTTCCAGCCCTGCCTGGAGAAAAGGAGACTCGGGGTGACCTTATCACTCTCTACAGCTCCTGAAAGGTGTCTGTGCTCAGCTGGGGTTGGGCTCTTTCTCCCAGCAGCACTGACAGAACCAGAGCACACAGTCTCAAGCTGTGCCAAGGGAAATTCAGGTTGGGTATTAGGAAAAAGTTTTTCACAGAAAGGGTCATAAAGTTCTGGAATGGCTGCCCGGGGAGGTGGTGCAGTCACCATCCCTGGGTGTGTTTAACAAAGCCTGGATGTGGCACTGGGTGCCAGGGTTTAGTTGAGGTGTTGGGGCTGGGTCGGACTTGATGAGCTCGAAGGTCTCTTCCAACCCAGTGATTCTGGGATTCTGTGGTTCTGTACCCAACCTGTGGGACCACCCAAACCCAAGGGAATGCACAGCACCTGCAGCCCCAGGGACACAGATTAAGCTGGAAAAACAAGGTCCTGTTAATTGAAATGAATAATGGTGGAGGGTCCCTTGCACAGGTTCTTTCAGGTGTTGGTCCATGAAATTGGTTCTCGTTTTTGGCTGCATTTGGCAGCGTAGGAGAACAAAGTTGAAGGAGATTTGTGCAGGTCTGTTGAGGTTGTTCAGGGTTGCTCAGGTCCATGCAGAGGTGGTGCCAAGGAGCAGAGTTTGGAAGAGGAATTAGAGGAGACCCTGAGCTGGTCTGGGCAATAAAACCAGCCAGGACAAATATTTAAAACTAAGAGCTTTAGAGGGATTATAAATCCTCCTGTTCAAATCTGCTCTCAGGCTTCAGGGAGTGACTTTCCCTCCTGTCTTGGGACTGGGAAGGTTTCTCTCAGCAGAGTAATTTCCTGCCAGGGTTGATCTGCAGCAGCAAGGCTTGGGTGGCACTGCCTGACCCAACCTCTGAGCCCTGGGTCCCTCTCCTATATCTGTGAGGGTTTCTTCACTCCCAGCTCTGTGTTTGGAGAGGAAAAACAGCCTGTTTATTACAGAGCACCCTGTGTGGGCAGCTGGAAAATCTGTGAGGGCTCACATGTCATCAATAACTTCTGACCTCTCACTTTCACCTGGCTGAGCTACTGACACAGGTACTCCACTTGCTGTGATGTTCTGCTCCTGGACTTTCCAGGGAAGGGACTCAGCAGGTTTGGGTGCAGATGTCATGGTGTTTGTCCCAGTGCAAAGCAGCAGCTCACAAAGGAGGCCATCGACATCCCTCTGCCCACTCAGTATTTCCTGTTCCTCATGAACGTGACTCATGAACCTGATTACAGCTAAACCCAAGAGCTGCAGTCCTCACTGCTCATCTCCTCCCACCCATTTTCCTGGGAGTTGTCCTCTTGGGAGCAGGCTGAGGTTGGGCAGAGCTGGCAGCCAGCTGGTCTGGAGCTGAACCTGGGGAACCAGCTCTGGGAACCAGTCTGGACTTTGATGTCTGGAGGCATCACAGGATTAGGATGCTTTGCTTTGGTCCCAAGCACCAACTCCAGTTTGCGTTTGAGCCTCAGGGTGTTCCCATTCACCTCCACGTTCCAGATTGGCAGCTGTGCCAAGACCCTACTTTGCTCCGTTTGGTGAATTTGGTGACAGGACCTTCACAATTTGGGCTGATTTGAGCTGTGCCTGGGATGGTTTCTGCTGGTCCCTCACCCTGGCTGTGAACCACTGATGCTTCCTGTTGTGGTTTCCTGCCTCAGCTGAGACGCCTCCTCTCTGCTCTCCCTTCCTGTTCTCATCAGGGCCATTTCAGAGCTTCATGGGGACAACAAATAGGTCGAGGAGGCTCTGGTTGCCGTAAATCCAGCTCCTGGCGGGCCTTTGCTGCTGAGGGCTGAGCAGGGCACGGTGCACGGGGCAGAACAGCTCCTCCTGAGCCCTTCCAACACAGAAATCCAGCCAAGCCCTTCCCAGCTCCAGTGGTGCCAAGGGTTGGCAGGAGGTCCCTGTGCTGCTGGGAGGGATGAACCAGGCTGGCATGAGCCAGAGCAGGGCTGACCAGCAGGGCAGGGCTGACCACATGCCCAGGCACAGCTCTGGCCACTGCCTGGGAGCAGAGACCACAGCAGTGGGCTCAGCCCATGGTGAAGAAACTTCTCCCACCATGTCCAGAAGAGTCAAATTGGGAAGAATAAGGGCAAATACCCAGTGTGCTGACCCAAAATCTGGTGTTTCTTTGCTCCTTACAGGAGTGACATGTTTGCAGGAGGCGCAGGCAGAGAAAATCTCTCTGATCTTTTTGGGGTCATCGTCTGTGTAGGAGCAACCCCAAAGTTCAGGCTCCAGGGAACAAATGAGACCCTTTGGTCACGATAATGTTTCCACTGATTACAGCAAACTGGGCTCTGTCAACACCCTCTGGGTGGGATTTTAGGTGATTCAAGACAGAGATACAAGCCCTGTACAGAGACAAGCCCTAAAGCTCTTCAGCACCAGGGCTCTGCAGAGACTTGGTCAACGAAGGGCCCTCTCGGCCAAAGGAATCGGAGCATCAGGAACCGGCCATAGCCAGGTATTGTAGGGAAAAATTCCACAGATTGTTTAAAAAACAATTCAAGGAAGGTTTCTTCTTGTTTCTGCTGACTGATGGTTGATGTCTGCCCAGAAGCACTTGGGTTTCTCTCCTTTTGCACTGTGCTTGGTGCATTTGTTTATCTAAATGTTGTTTTAGAGGTTTCGTACCCACCTAGTGTTTTAATCTTAATACATTTAAGGTTTTGGCCTTCTAGATCTCCATGGCAAAGCTCATTTATTCAGAGAGGCCAAAGAATTTCCTTTTATTGTGAACAGGGCTGGAAAGAAAATGGTAGGAAGTCAAGGCTAAAAACGTCAGGATGGATTTAAGGAGCACATTTTTAATAGTGAAGGTAATCAAGGACTGGAGGAACTCACTGTAGGATTTGGGGCATTCTCTCTTGCTTGGGATCTTTAAATCAGGTTCAGGTGGTTTCTCTATTCCTTGGCATCTATAAAGCAAGATCAAATGGATTCTCTGTTGCTTGGGATCTTTAAGTCAAGATGAGGTGGATTTTTATTTGCACCTCCCAGCTCCAGTAAGGGCAGAATAGAGGGATGTGGGATGCTGTGAGTTTGAAACGACCCCACAGAGAGCCAGCAGGAGAACCTCTAGACAGGGAAGTCTGAACCCCAATTAAACCATTTTGCAAAATGATGCTCCAGGGACCAATTTTCCCTGCCAGGCAGGGCCCCAGCAGTGCATTGTCACGGTGGGTGTTGTTCAGAATGCTGTGACATTCCTGAAGCAGCATCTTGAAAAAGACACCATGGGGGCACAGGCATGTCTGTGCTCACGCTGGGTGATTCTAGCCCTTCTGGATCCAGGCCACGCAGAAGGAGAGATGGGGTTTCTGTGTGGGGTTCCAAGGAAAACCAGAAAACCTTTATTGAGCCTCTTCCCAAAGGGATCCAGGGACTAAGAGCCATTCAGGCAGGGAAAAGCAGGGGGTTATATAGGGATCTCGAGGGGTGGGACAGAGCACCAGGGCCAATGGGATGAGTGCACAGGGGTGGAGTGAGGGGGAACGCCCAGTGGGATACATTCAATCTGCATATAGCAGCAAGGCATGCTGGGAGAAGCCTTTTCCCTCACCCTAACAAGGGTGGTTATAACCCGGGGGGTTTTTCCTCCAGGGGAGTGCTGTCAACTTCTTCCCTGTTGGCCCACCAGCCTCCACAGCACGTGAGCCATCGCGGCGAGCGAAGGGGAGATGCCGGACGCCGCCGCCCACCTGCCCTTCTACTACGGCAGCATCGCGCGCGCGGAGGCCGAGGAGCACCTGAAGCTGGCGGGGATGGCGGACGGGCTGTTCCTGCTGCGGCAGTGCCTGCGCAGCCTGGGCGGCTACGTGCTGTCCATGGTGTGCGACCTGCAGTTCTACCACTACCCCATCGAGCGCCAGCTCAACGGCACCTACGCCATCCTGGGGGGCAAGGCGCACTGCGGCCCCGAGGAGCTCTGCGAGTTCTACTCCAAGGATGCCGACGGGCTCTGCTGCCCCCTGCGCAAGCCCTGCAATCGCCCCAGCGGGGTGGAGCCCCAGCCCGGCGTCTTTGACAGCATGAGGGACAACATGGTGCGGGAATACGTGCGGCAGACCTGGAAACTGGAGGTACTGGGGCTTTCCAGGGGTGGGGTGGTGTGGATCCCTGCTGTGACCACAGCCCTGAGCGGGCACAGCTGCAGCCACAGCACAGCTGGCACAGCTGCAGCCCTGCAAATCCCCTTTTTTCCTTCTGCTGCAGCTGCAGCAGCTCCTTTCCCTGGATCCACCCCCAGTGCCCCGTGAGGATGGTGGCAGGAGCAGGGAGTTCATCTCTGCTTTCTCCTCTCCATCCCCACGAGCTGGGAGTGCTCTTGGAGCAGCTGCTCTGCCCACTCTGTCACATCCCCTGTGGCTGCCTGGGCACTGCCAGCACTGCAGGTGATCAAACACCTCCACCAGCTCTTTATCTTGCCTTTCCCATGGAGGAGGATGGCTCCTTTGGGAGTTTGGGAAGAGCTTTCATGGCAGCAGTGATTGCCACGGGGACTGTAAATTAAAGCAGAGGCAGAGCCCTCCCAGACCTCTGTGCCCTGTGCCCTGTGCCAGCACTGGGGCAGCTCCTGTGGTGAAACCTGCACAGAAACACCCACCTGGTGCTCTGTTGAGTCTTAACTTCTTTTTGCCAGGGTTGGGATTAAATCACAGGATGGTATTTCTTGTTGGGACTCAGATGATTATTAGTTCTGATCTATGTTACAGTTTCACAAACCCTGAGTTCTACAGCACTTCACTCTAACAAACTAAAAATGGAGCCCCATCTCTCTCTCTACAAGGCCTTTTAAGGATAAACTCTCCAATTAAGAAATGACACCTAAATTATTTTCACTTTTAACCCAATAACCAACCACCCATGGCCCGCAATGTGGACTTTTTTATCCAATTACACAAAACCACCCAAACCCATGAAGAAGAAGGTGGAGAAGAAGGACCAGCCTCCACCCTAAAACCTCCATCTTATTTTATATATATTGCTAGATTCTAAAACCTCAAACTCTGTGTTTTCCACCCTGCGATTACACACTTCTATTCAAACTCCACAACCACAATCCCAGTTCTGTCATTCCATTTTGGAAGCCTTCTCCACAGCCTCAGGTCAGATGCAGTGTTCTCCTGGGGGTCAGTGCCTGGCAGCACAGAAAGTCTGAAACACTCAGCAGCCAGGGTTCCAGCAGGGTGGGAAGCTGTGATCCCTGTGGTGCTGCTGTGTCCCACTTGCAGCACAGCAGAGTAAGGTTCCTCTCCTTGGAGGGTGCTGGCATTGTGAGGGGTTTGAATTCTGCTCTTTCCCAGTTTCTTCTTCACACACTGGTCTGAACATCTTCCCAAGCCTTCAGACCCATCCTTGGAACAGCTGGAGCTCACTTTGCAGGCCTTCCCCCAAGCGTCCTCCTCTGCAGCCCATAGAATGCTCCCTGCCTTAGACCAGAGCTCTGATCCCAAAAGCCAACAACCCATCCCAAAAGTCAACCACCCATCCCAAACCCCAACAAACCCATCCCAAACCCCAACAAACCCATCCCAAACCCCAACAAACCCATCCCAGAACTAAACAAACCCATCCCAAACCCCAACAAACCCATCCCAGAACTAAACCAACTCATCCCAAAACCCAATGACTCATCCCAGAACTAAACAAACCCATCCCAACGCCCAACAAACCCATCCCAGATCTAAACAAACCCATCCCAAAACCCAACCACATAGCTCCAGAGGCTCATAAAGATAAGACCCCCACGCCATGGATGTGTCCCTGGCGCTGCTGGCAGCAGATTCTCCATCCCAATCCTGGGATTGGCTCATTTGGTCAGATCATGGTGCTAATAAAGCCAAGGTTTTGGGTTCCATCCCCATATGGGCCCATTTACTTAATAATTGGACTTGATGGTCCTTGTGGGTCCCTTCCAACTCAGAATATTCTGTGATTTCTGGGCATATCTCTCCATATGTGAGGTGCTTGTGCCTCCAAACATTGTGCTGAAGATGAAATGAAACCAGACTTAGACTTTTGCTCTGGTTTTTTCACTCTTTGGAGTGGAATTTTTGCCTCTCTGGAGTTTTTTTTTTTTTTTTTTTTTTCCAGTGAAGCTTTTACCCATGAGACCAAGGCAAGGGGCACTGGATCAGGTCTGTGTGTTATTTAAGCTTAAAAATAGCTACAAACAGGTTACTGCATTTTATTGCAAAGTGGAATATCTGCAATATATGCATAAATCAAAACTCTAAATGGTCCCACTGGCAGCCATTTCTTTCTGTCTGCTGCCACCTTGACTTCTCATACACTTCCAGGGGTCATTTTGTTGTTTCCTTGGCAGGGGCTGCCCAGGGAAGTTTGGAGTTCCCATCCCTGGAGGTGTCCAAGGAAGGCCTGGATGTGGCACTCAGTGCTCTGGGCTGAGGACAAACTGGATATGGGGCACAGCTTGGCCTCAATGATCTTGGAGATCTTTTCCAACCTAAATAATTCTGGGATTTTATATTTTCTTTTAAGTCCTCAGAGAAATATGGCTCAGGCAGTGTCCTTATGGAGCCTTTCTACAGAAGCTTTCTAAATTTGGCCTATTTACACCAAATGTGTTTGACAGAATGAGGTATTTTATAGGGTGAACGAGGTGTTCTGTAGGGTTTCTATAGCCGAATGAGGCGTTCTGTGCTATATGAGGTATTTTCTAGCAGAATTCTCTCCCAGAACCGGGGATTCTGTAGGGTTTCCCCCAGAGGAGATCGGTGGCCACCTGCAGATAGCACAAAGGACATCGCCACCTCCTGGCAAAGGGACAGTAACGGTTTAACACCGACGTGGGCCCGGGGAAAGGAACTCAGGGTCCCTCCCCCGTGGCTGCCAGACTGCACCGACCTTGCCAAGTCCTGGTGCCTGTGGGTGGTGGGCAGCCAGGAGGGCAGGGGCACCAGAAAGGTCGTGCTCTCAAGAAAAGTGGGACAGTCCCTCCCTGGTCCTGGTGCACCCCAGGACAGGCTACCTTTGGGCTACCAGGACACCAATCCAACTTGTCTCCAACCAGAAACAGGAGGCTGAATGACACCCCACAAGCCCAGCATTGAGATTCCCCACATAAATGTGGTGCCTTCTTTCTTCCCTCACCAAAGTCAAAGGGCTTAGCTTGGTTTAAAGGATTAGGTCAGTTGAGATAAGCCAGGAATTCTGCTCTGCAGCAGAAGAGAATTCAGCTGCTCTTGGGTCTCAGTCACTTTCCAAGTTTCCTGTGTCATGTGCCCCCAGTGAGCTGTGCTGAAGCCATCAGCAGAGCAGCAGGATGGCAGGTCTCTTTCCTGCTCTTTCCCAGGGGGATGCCCTGGAACAGGCCATCATCAGCCAGGCTCCCCAGGTGGAGAAGCTCGTGGCCACCACAGCCCATGAGAGGATGCCCTGGTACCACGGCAACATCAGCCGGGAGGAGGCGGAACGGAGGCTCTACTCGGGGGCACAGCCTGACGGGAAATTCCTGTGAGTATCCAAACCCTGCTCCATCCTGGCATCCCTGGATTTTTGACCATTTCCCACCCCACTGCCCTGCTGTTACTGGTTTCACGGGACAGAGGAAGTGTAGCTGAATTTTCTCAGAGTGGTTACAGATATTTCAAAGGTGGGCTGAGCCCCAAATCTGTTCTTCCTCACACGGGGCACCACTGTGTGGATTCTTTGGGGGTTTCCCTTCTGTTAATGTGGAGATTAAGTGTGTGAGAAAGTATTTTTTGTTCGGACTTAGATGTTTATTAGTTCTTATTTATATTATAATTTCATAAACTGAGTTTTGTAGTACTTAACAAGCTTAAAATGGAGCTGTAGCTATCTCTCTACAAGGCCTTTTAAGGATAAACTGTCCAATTAAGAAATGACACCTAAATTATTTTTACTTTTAACTTAATAACTAACTACTCATTACTTGTAATGTGGACTTTTTTATTTAATTACATAATACTACTCAAACTCATTAAGAAGAAGGCGAAGAAGAAGGATTAGCTTCTGCTTTAAACCTTCTATCTTGCTGTATATATATTACTATATTCTAAAACCTTCAACTCTAAGTTTCCCACCCTGTGATATCACACACTTCTGTTCAAACTCCACACCAAAATCCCAGTTCTATCATTCCATTTTGGAAGCCTTCACCACAGCCTCAGGTCAGATGCAGTGTTCTCCTGGGGGTCAGTGCCTGGCAGCACAGAAAGTCTGAAATTCTCAGCAGCCAGGGCTCCAACATCTGCCCGGCCATGAAGACTCAGTCTAGAGTTTTATTTGTTTCTCATATTTCAATATCTCTATAAAGTTTGGTTGCTGCTGCACAGGATGAGGGGGAAGATATTAAACACTGACAGGCTGGCAATGTAAGGCCCAGAAAACACAGGAGAAAGTTTTGCTCTGCATCTCTGCCCTGATGAGACAGCCTTAAAATAATTTAATTCCCTCCTGGATGAGTTAGGGAAAGAAAGAATTAGCTGGAGAACAGTTCATCAGGAGCTGGAGCGATAGGACAAGTGGGAATGGTTTGAAACTAAGAGTAGGTTTAGATGGGATATTGGGCAGGAATTGTTCCCTGGCAGGGTGGGCAGGCCCTGGCACAGGGTGCCCAGAGCAGCTGTGGCTGCCCCTGGATCCCTGGCAGCGCCCAAGGCCAGGCTGGACAGGGCTGGGAGCAGCCTGGGACAGTGGAAGGAACTGGCACTGGGTGACCTTTAAAGTCTTTTCAAACCAAAATGATTTTGAGATTCTCTGGTTCTATGAGAGGGGCAAAAAACTGGAGGTGAAGGGTCCCTCCTCAGCCTCTGAAGAGGGTGTTGGGAGGGTGACAATTCCAATGAACCCAGTTTAGGCTTTTGGTCAGATCTGCCTTAATCTTTGGAGTGGAGTTTTGGCCTCTGTGGGGGTTTTTGCCTTAATGGAGGGTTTTTTTTGCCTGAAGTAGCAGGTACTGGATCAGGTCTGTTATTTAAACTTAAAACCAGCTTCAGACAGCCTCTTGCATTTTATTTTGGACTGGAATATATATAATTTATATATAATATAGATAACTTTATATGCAATATGTAATAAATATATAATAAATACATAATGTATAATATAGAATATATAACATATAATATATAATATAATATATATTATATATTATATATTATACATGATTCATTATACATTATGTTGTATCATATATAATATATTGTATATTATATATTATGTATATATATATATATGTATATTTTATATATATAATTTTAAACAGGGATGCAGGCACACCTCTCCATGCACACATGCCCACTCACCACTGACAATCCTCAGAGTAAAACCAAGAGCTGCTTTCAATACTTTATTAATAATTTTCCTTCCTGCTAGGCTGAGAGAAAAGAAGGAGAACCGTGCCTACGCCCTGTCCCTGGTCTATGGCAAGACCGTGTATCACTACCGGGTGGATCACGATAAATCTGGGAAATATTCCATTCCTGAGGGCACCAAATTCGACACACTCTGGCAGGTACCAAGAAATTGAGGCACTTTTTCCTTGCTTTGAAGCTTCACCAAGTCCCTCAAAATCATCAGGATAAATAAACCCCTCTAATGCCATTTTTTTTAGTGTCAGAGAGTCAGGAATGATTTTATTCCTGGCCAGGGTTTTGTGCATGGCTGACAAAATTCTGGCCCTCCACAGACCCCAATCCAAAACGTTGTTACTTGATTGTAGATTTATATTTATATAAAATTATATAAAATATAAATATCTATTTTTATACATATATAGATAATATATTTATTCATACATTTATACAGTTATTACATAATTATATATTTATATAAAATTATATATTTTATATAAAATATATTTATAGAAAATTATTTTATTTATTATACTTATTTATACAGAAAAATAAATGAATGTTCATTGGTTCTAAACGACATCATAACACCATGGTTGTGTTTTGATCCCCACCACTTAATAATTAATAATCATCACTATTGATCCTCAGGGGTCCTTTCCAATTCAAAATATTCCATGATTCTGTGCTAATTTTCTTTCATTAATTAGTATTCTATCCTCTATTGATTATTAATTTCCCTTTTTCTGCTAATTAGACCACATTTTTAATCTTTTTAAAACTAAAAAATATTTTTTCTTTTTTTTCTATAGCAGGGATTCTCCAATGTTTAAACTGAATCTTTTTTAGTCTCTTCTTTTTCTTCTTGTTTCTCCAAAGTCTCCTTATGGTCCATAAATTCTGCATTCCAGGTGTCCAACCTCAATCCCTCTTCCTCTCCCAGGCTTTATTCATTGGGGTATAGCAGAGTTAGTTTATCAAAACTTAAAATTCCAGCAATTTTCCCCAGCTGTGCTCCTGCAAAAGTAGCTCATGACAACCTTGTTCTGTGCTGGCTGAGAGTAATTGAAGAATAACACAATATTTATAATTAATACATATATTTGTTGGGATTAATTAATTAAAACCAGTCATAATTAACTAAAATTATGCAGGGAGTGGATGCCAGAGCTTCCTCCTGGCTAGGGCTGTCTGAGGGACAACAACCCCATTTTTGCTGAATTTTCTGAAATCCCAGGGCTGTTTTCACTCGGAATTTTATTGAAAACAAAGATTTTGGGGCATTTTTATGGCAGCAGAGCCGTGCCAGGCTCCCGATTGCAGCTGAAATCTGAGCCAGCCAGGAGGAGAAGGGAAAGCCTGGTGTCCCTGGGCAGGGCTGGGCTGGCTGTCCCCAGGCTGAGTGATGTCCCCTCTGTGCTGGATCCAGTGGTGCTGCCACCCAAAGCTGCCTGGGATCCACAGAACAAACCCTGCAGCTCCTCTGGGAAAAAGGATCTGCTTTCTCTCAGGATTTATCCCACACAGCAGGGCCCAAACCCCTTCCTGGCTGCCACAACAATCCCACTGCACTGAACATGCCCTGCTCAGACTGCAGATTTTGTCTTTCCTTGGGCCTTATCGCACAATATTTATAATTAATACATATATTTGTTGGGATTAATTAATTAAAACCAGTCATTTAAGAGTTAAACCATTAACTAAAATTATGCAGGGAGTGGATGCCAGAGCTTCCTCCTGGCTAGGGCTGTCTGAGGGACAACAACCCCATTTTTGCTGAATTTTCTGAAATCCCAGGGCTGTTTTCACTCGGAATTTTATTGAAAACAAAGATTTTGGGGCATTTTTATGGCAGCAGAGCCGTGCCAGGCTCCCGGTTGCAGCTGAAATCTGAGCCAGCCAGGAGGAGAAGGGAAAGCCTGGTGTCCCTGGGCAGGGCTGGGCTGGCTGTCCCCAGGCTGAGTGATGTCCCCTCTGTGCTGGATCCAGTGTTGCTGCCACCCAAAACTGCCTGGGATCCACAGAACAAACCCTGCAGCTCCTCTGGGAAAAAGGATCTGCTTTCTCTCAGGATTTATCCCACACAGCAGGGCCCAAACCCCTTCCTGGCTGCCACAACAATCCCACTGCACTGAACATGCCCTGCTCAGACTGCAGATTTTGTCTTTCTTTGGGCCTTATCGAATTCCCCAAGTTCTTCCCAGCTCTGGCAGATATCCAGGGATGCAATCATACCCTGGGACATCCCTAAGTGCACACAAAGAAGACAGAAACAGTCTGGTCCCTGACTGCCATAAATCTGAGTGGATAAGATATAATATATATTATATTATAATATCTATTATATTATATTACAATTTTTTTTTTCTCCTCACAATAATCTCTTTTTCCTCCCATCCCTTTCCCAGTTGGTGGAGTACTTAAAACTCAAACCAGATGGGCTGATTTTCTACCTGAGGGAAGCCTGCCCCAACCCCAACATGCCAGGTGAGCTGACACCTCTCAGTGCCACTCCTGGCCTTGGTTTGACACCAACTGGTGCCAGGTGGAGCAGTGCCAGCCCAAATTTCCCTTCCTGTGCCCAGCCGTGGTGGGGGCAGTGACCCTCTGGCAAATGGGGCCAGTGTCCCGTGGTGTTGTCACTTGCCAGGTCGACCTGAGGTGGCCCAAAGTGGGGGGAGTCAGTGGCCAAATGGATTTGGTGCCCAACGGATGGATTTGGAGCGTGACCTGCTTTTTGGGCAGCAGGAAAATTCACGTCCTGCAAGGCTGGGCCCTGCTGGCTCTCTGAACACTCAAAACCAGGGGCCACTTTGGGTCCACGTGTCACAAATGTCACTTGAGACCCGGGCCTGTCCTGGGGCACAGCTCAGCCAGTCTCTGCCCCTGGACCCATGGGGTGCTCCAGTGCTGGCACTTTCCCTGAGAAAATTTGGGAATAACACCAGATCCAGACACATTTCCACAACTTTTTAAGCTAAAGCTGGGGAAATTTTCCTTTGGGGGTTGGAGGGGATGGGATCAGACCCACAGGGTCCTTCAAGGACAGATGCTCTTGCCCTGCTTGGAGCAAACTGCTGATAACAAACTGCTGATAACAAATTCCTGACAACAAATTCCTAATAACAAATCCTCTCTCTTGTTTTGCAGCCTCTGCAGCACCAGCTCCACCCACCCACCCCTCCGTGAGTGTAAGTTTGGGGGAGGCTTTGTTTCATTGGGAACTCAGTGGTTTTGATATTGCTCCATTTCAAGCTTGGCTGATCAAACCCTGCTCTTCAAACCCTGCTTTTGTCTAAAAGCTCGGGAACTGCACTGGACTTTATTAAGCCCAGCTGGGATGTTGTTCTCTTTCCAGCTTGGAAGGGGGTGGGGAATAGCTGGGCACAGCCCTTGGTAGAGCTGAGAAGGGTTTCCATTCATCCAGAGCTCCTTGCAACATGTGGGCCTGTCCTTGGGGAGCCCTCCATCCCTACCCTGCTGGCCAGGCAGCAGCGAGGAAGCCGTGCTGGGATTCTGGGAATGCTCAGCCCTGCTGCTCCCACTGGCCCCCAGCCAGGGCTTTGTGCTCACCCTGCCCAGGGGAATGTCCCTGCTCAGCCCCTGAGTGCTGGGCTGGGCTGAAAGCAGAGGATTTGGGGATCCCAGGGGGGGCTGAGTGAGGCCTGGGGGCTCACCCATCACCCCAGCGGGCTTTCAGAACCCACAGCGGCCTCCAGGGTGCTGGGCACTGCCCAGGCTCTTCAGCTGTTGGAGAGTGCCCAAAGGAGGGACACGGAGCTGGGGAAGGCTCTGAGGAGCGGCTGAGGGCACTTGGCTCGTTCAGCTGGAGCACAGGAGACTGAGGGGAGGCTCCTCGGGGGCTGCAGCTCCTCCCCAGGGGAGGCAGAGGGGCAGGGGCTGAGCTCTGCTCTGGGACAGGGACAGGAGGCCAGGAAGGGCTGGAGCTGTGCCAGGGCTTGGCATGGAGCTCAGGGAAAGGTTCTTGCCCCCGAGGGTGCTGGCACTGCCCAGGCTGCCCAGGGAATGGTCCCGGCCCCAAGGCTGCCAGAGCTGCAGGAGCGTTTGGACAGCGCTGCCAGGGGTGCTCAGGGTGGGCTTGTTGGGGTGGCTGGGCAGGGACAGGGGCTGGGCTGAGCATCCTGAGGGTCTCTCCCAGCTCAGGATCTTGTGAGGCTGAGTGATCCCTCTGTGCTGGATGCAGTGGTGCTGCCATCAAAAACTGCCTGGGATCCACAGAACCAACCCTGCAGCTCCTCTGGGAAAAAGGATCTGCTTTCTCTCAGGATTTATCCCACACAGCAGGGCCCAAACCCCTTCCTGGCTGGCACAACAATCTCACTGCACTGAACATGTCCTGCACAGATTGGAGATTTTGTCTTCCTTGGGCCTTATCAAATTCCCCAAGTTCTTCCCAGCTCTGGCAGCTACAGTTCCTCCCAAGCTCTTCTTCCAGCTCAGGGATTCTGTGGCTCTGGCATTCCAAGCTGTGCCACGCTGTGGCTCTGCTCTGGGGACAGTGGCTGCACAGTGTCCCTGTGTGCTCACAAGGCCACTTTTCCTGTGCTGGCTGTGACCTGAGCTGCCTCCCCTTCCTGGCTCACTGCAAACTGAGTCCTGGCTGGGATGGGGACAGCAGAGGGGACAGAGAGCCCTCACCTTGCACAGTCCTGGAGAGGGTGCTGTGCTCAGGGTCCCTGGCCCCCATCCCTGCTGGAAGTGGACTGGAACAGGAATCTTGCCTCCAGACCACTCCAGTGTCAGCCCACCTCAGAGGGATCACCAGCTGGGGCTGTGTTGGAGTGCAGTTTTCCCTGTCCCTTTCCCCTCCATTTGCAACTGAATCAATTTCTCCTTTATCCACTTTCTCCTCATTTCTTTTCCAGAGAAACCTGGGCCCTCTCAATGCAGATGGATACACCCCAGACCCTGTTGGTGAGCACCTACAGAGCCCTCTCCTCCTCACAGGGGACAGGACTGGGATATTCCAGGAGCCCACGGGTTCCCTGGAGCCCTGCTACAAAGTCCCTTTCTTACAAAAGCACCCAGGAGCACCCCAGACATTTTGGGGCCCTGCACCCACACTGTGCTCCCAGGAAATCAAGCCCTACCCCATGCCTTGCCTTACCCAGGAAGTAAAGCCCTGTTCTATCCCCATTTTTCACTAAAATTTACATTTTTCACTAAAATTTACATTTTTCGGTGGATTCAGCTGAATTTCAGTGGGGTAAAGCCCTGCCAAGGCTGGCAGGGCAGTTGTGTGGAGTGGGAATGCTCAGACCCCTCTCCTCATCCTACCTCTTTCAGCAACCAGGACTGTATCAATGAAGGATGACCCCCAGCCAGAGGAATAATGTGCAATGACTCCAAGATTCAAAAGGCTGAACAATTGCTTTGTTCAAAGCAATTGAACAAATTAAACTATACTATATTATAGTATATATTAAGCTGTACTATATTATATTACACTCTATACTATACTAATACTGTACTAAACTATACTACTAAAGAAAAATCCATGGCCCTCACCAGACAGTGACAACACAGCTTTGACCTAATTGGTCAATCAATCCAAACAACCATCACCAGAGTCCAATTAACAAATTACTTTGGGTAAACAATCTCCATAACACATTCCACATGTGCCAAACAACAGGAGCAGCAAATAGAGATAAGAATTGTTTTCTCTTATCTCTCTGAGCTTTCTCACCGTGTTCCCTGGGAGAAATCCTGGGAAGGTTTTGCCTGCTGCTCTTTGTGAAGAGAGCTGTGGCCACAGGACTGGGAGGGGCCTCGGGTTGTGAAAGGAAGGGAGATGCCCAGGAGGGATCAGAAATGCTGGATTTTAAAGTGAATTGGCCAAAAAGAGCAGAGAAACCCTTCCCAATCCATGAGGGACAGTGGGATGGGGAAGGGCAGGTTTATAACCTAGTGCTCCTCTTGGGAAGGGGCAGGAAAATCCCGCCTGCTGCCCATGGATACCAGCGTCTATGAGAGCCCCTACAGCGACCCCGAGGAGCTGAAGGACAAGAAGCTGTTCCTGAAGAGGGATCACCTGATGATTGATGAGGTGGAGCTGGGTGCAGGAAACTTTGGCTGTGTCAAGAAGGGAGTTTACAAAATGAGGAAGTGAGTGAGGGTGCTGGGGAAGGGGGAGGAGAGGGACCTGGCTGGGCTTGAGGTGTCCCCAGCTGTCCTGTTGGTTACTAGATGGGCCCCAAAGTGGCAATGGAGGGGATTAGAGGTGATCTGGGAGGTCAGGAGTGATGGATGTGATGGTTGAGGTACCACCCCTGGAAGTGTTCAGAAGATGAGCAGGTTTTGTGGTGGGGTTTAGTGGGGATGGTGGTGTTCAGTCAGGGGTTGGACTTGATGGTCTTGCAGGTCTTTTCCAACCCCAACAATCCCAGGATATTATGGCATGAAGCTGTAATTCCATGGCTTCCCATGGATTTTCACTGACAGCTGCATTGCCCTGGGTGTGTAATTCTATATTCCCAGGCACACAGCTGCCACTTCCAAAGGGACTTGCTGGGCTCAGAGGAACAACTCCACATTCCTGAGGTCACCTCTGTCCTTGTCAGGCCAAAGCAGTGACACTGAGGAGTTGTGCCACCCTTGGCTCTGTTGCTGGTTGTCTGTGATGGTCTTTACCTACTTGTGCCTCAGTTTCCTCCTGGAAAAATGGCACTGATGACCCAGATCTCAGTGTGGGAGGGGAGGTGCCTCCAGATCAGGGATGGCAACTTCAGGCTGCACCCACAAGGGTGAGGTGACCTTTCCTCTCCTTTCTGGGACATTCTGGGATGGCTGTGCTCAGCCCATCCCACGGCTGTTCCCCCGTGCAGGAAGCAGATCGACGTGGCCATCAAGGTGCTGAAGAGCAACAACGAGAAGACAGTGAAGGATGAGATGATGAAGGAAGCACAGATCATGCACCAGCTGGACAACCCCTACATTGTGAGAATGATTGGGGTGTGCGAGGCCGAGTCGCTGATGCTCGTGATGGAGATGGCTTCTGGAGGGCCCCTCAACAGGTTCTTGGCTTCCAAGAAGTGAGTGTTGGATAAAACGTGGCTGATTTTCTGTGTGTCTTCTCAAAATCTACTTCAAAAGCCCACCCTTGTGTCACCATTGGTCAGAGATGACACGTAGTCAGATCAGAAGGCAAAGTGGCAAAAAAGCCTTGTTTAGTTCATCCTCTCTTTTATAGCTTAGTTTGCTACAGGTGGACCTGATTGGTCATTTAATCAATACATTTCATATGATTGCTTACAAATAGGTGTCTTGGTAATTAGCCAATCTTATGAGAAAAACATTGTTAGAAAAACACCACCTGCAGGTTGTTTTTAATATTTGGCTATCGTTTATCTCCAGTTCCCTAAATCTTCCCAGACCAATTCTGGGAAAACTTATCTAGCTTTGTCTCTCTCTGACCAGGCTGTCACATCCACATCCTTGTAGGTGCAGGAAAGCTGAAAAGAGCAGAAAGAAATCTTTCATGTGAGGCTCCAGGGGCTGATGCTTCTGGAGCAGAGATCTCCATGCTCATTCTGCCTTGCAGCTGGAAAAGTCAGAGGGGACCACAGCAGGCCCTTTATGACTGAGACCTCCTTTCACCCTCCCCAGGGATGAGATTACAACGAGCAACATCGTGGAGCTGATGCACCAGGTGTCCATGGGCATGAAGTACCTGGAGGAGAAGAACTTTGTCCACAGGGACCTGGCAGCCAGGAATGTCCTGCTGGTCAACCAGCACTATGCCAAGATCAGTGACTTTGGGCTGTCCAAGGCTCTGGGAGCTGATGACAGCTACTACAAGGTGGGTGTGAGCACAGCAAAGGGTCTGGAGCAGGAGCCCTTCTGGCTGGGAGAATGAGACCCCCAGAGACTTGAGGATCTGGGCTGTTCATGGACCCCTGTGAAGAACACCAGGCTCTGCCTCACTGCTGTGACATCAAAGGGGCTTTGCAGAGCTCTGGTGACAAGGAGGATGCAGAGGCAGCCAGGGGGATGCAGGTCAGGGGGATGAGAGGAGCCAGAGAGAAGAAGTGATGAAGAGTGAGCCAGGGCTGATCTTCCCAGCAGTGCTCAACTAAAGGAGAGACCCCACCTGGAATTCTGTGTCCAGCTCTGGGGTCCCCAGCACAAGATGAGGACCTCTTGGAATGAGTCCAGACAAGGCCACTAAATTGGTCACAGGGCTGGAGCCCCTCTGCTCTGGAGCCAGGCTGGCAGAGGGCACTGGATGGGCTTTAAGGTCCCTCCGACCCAAACCATTCCATGATTCCATGGTTTAACTGAGTCCTGGGGGCGGGTGGCAGGAGGAGGGTGGCACCGTGGGCATTCAGCACCTGCACAACAGGACAGCAGGGCCTGGACTGGGCTTAGGAGCTCCCATTTCAGGTGATTTTTTTTCAGCAATGTGAGATTTGACACAAACACCCAGCAGAACTGAGGTGCAGCTCCCATCACTCCATGTCTCAGGCTGCAAATGTCCCTCCTTGCTCTGCTGCAGGCCAGGACAGCAGGGAAGTGGCCCTTGAAGTGGTACGCCCCTGAGTGCATCCTCTTCCACAAGTTCTCCAGCAAGAGCGATGTCTGGAGCTACGGTGTGACCATGTGGGAGGCCTTCAGCTTCGGGCAGAAACCCTACAAGGTGAGGCAGGGCCCTACAAGGTGAGGCAGAGCTGGGTCTGTCACCCGTGGGTGTCACAGCCCCGCTCCACTTTGGGAAAGGCACAAATGAGGGTGGATCCTGCAGCTTTGTGTTCATTTTAAGAGAGAAGAAATAGAAAACAAATGGAATTAATTTGGGTTTGAGTCAAAGCAGAGTTTTTTGATCCTTCTCTTTGATTTTTCTGCTCACTTGAGAGATAAAAAAATCACTTCTCATCCACTGCTGGGCCTGTGCTTGGGTGGGGTGAGCGGGATGGGTGGGGTGGGGTCTGGAGGGTGGATGGGGTGGGGTGGGCAAGCTCACTGGGATGGAATTGGTAGGACAGGAGGGATGGGGTGAGTAGGGTGGGTGAGATGGGATCTGCAGGTGGGTGGGATGGAATTGACAGGATGGACAGGGTGGGATCTGCAGAATGGATGGGATGGGATGGGATCTGCAGGCTGGGCAAGAATGAGATCTGCAGGATGTCTGGGATGGGGTCTGTGGGATGGGTTCTGCAGGGTAGCTGGGATGGGGCCTGTGGGATGGGGTCTGTAGGGTGGCCAGGCCACAGCGTGGGACACCAGTTCTGGCTGCTGAGGTGGGAACAGTCACTGCCAGGTGTGGGGGATATGGGACCAAAGCTCCACCCCAAGCCCAGCTCTAACCCATCTCCTCTAGCCCTGCTGCCAGCTCGGAACACATTAATCCCCTTCCTCTTGCTCCCATGCCAGAAAATGAAGGGCCCCGAGGTGACCAGCTTCATAGAGCAGGGCAAGCGCATGGACTGTCCCCAGGAGTGCCCAGCAGAGATGTACTCCCTGATGCAGCAGTGCTGGACATACAGGTGAGCATTTCACCACGGTGTCAGCTCCACCAGAGTCACCAAATCTCAGAATGGGATTGGAAATTTGGGTTGGAGAGGATCTTAAAGCCCATCCAGTCCAACCCCCTGCCATGGGCAGGGACACCTTTACCACACTGTTTGCATGCTGAGAGCAAAAAGCAAATGGTGTCTCCTGCCTTTGTGATGATTCCCCAGCCCAAGATTATTTTTTTATAATCAGACCCCCCCATCTGCCTGTGCCAATCCTGGAAGATCCCCAAGCCTTGGTGTCTTTGACCCTCTCTGTCCCTGAAAATTCTCAGCTGCCTCCTGAGCCCTGGCACAGCAGGCTGCTGCTCTCCCCCAGGGTCTCTGTGTGTCCTCTCAGTACATCAGGCCAGCTTTGTCCTCTCTGATGACTTTATTTTCTCCTCTCTGCCCTTGCAGATGGGAAGAACGTCCAGGATTTGTGGCTGTGGAAAACACCATCCGCTCCTACTACTACAGCATTGCTGCCAAGCCTGCAAATGGGCCAGACGCAGGGGACAGGCCTAAAGCAGCTCTTCCTTGAGACTCCTTCTCTGCTCCTCCACCTGCCCTGAATGGACCTGGAAAGGCTCTTTGTGAAGTTTTGCTTTAATCTCTCAAACTCTCCTCAGCACTGAGGATGAGGAGGACGTTGGTGTCCCCACGGACAGGGACACCTGGCTGTGCCCCCCAGCTCCTCCAGCCTGACCCAGCCCAGGAGCACAGACTGTCAGAGTCCTTCCCACCCAGTTCCAAAGCTGTCCCAACACCCCAGAGCTTTGCACCTCCCAGTCTCACTGAGGATGAACTGTGTTGGCTCCAGAAAATCTGGATTTTTCCAGATGCCTTAACAAACAATGCTTTCCCAGGAAGCCACCAAGTGCACGTTGGGGTTTGCACAGGGTGGGACACAGCACAGGGAGCCACCTGTGGTGGCCTTTTCCCTTTGAATTAGGGCAAGAAGCATCTGGTTTGCAGCTGGGATGGGGAGGAGCAGTGGGACAGAGCTGATCCCAGTGGTTTGTACCCCTGCAACCCTGGCCAGCACAGAGCAGGTGTCATCCAGCCCTCCAAGGTGGCTCCCAAACAATTCCAGGACCAATCCCTCAGCTCCTGGATCCCACCTGGCCCCTCTGTGCTGATAAAGTGTTGTTTTCAAGCTTAAAAACTGGTCACCCTATAAATAAACTATTCCATGTTCTGAACATTCCATGGCTCGGATCACTGAACTTTGAGAAATGCTGGCAATGCTTCAGGCTTGTTACGAAAAACCCCCAAACCCATTGGGATAACAGAACCCTCCAATGCTGCATTTTTAGTGTTAGAAAATTGCTTTATTCTCAGCTCTGGGTGTGGATGGGGCTGACAAAATCCCAGCCTCCACACAGCCCCCGATCCAAAACCTCCTCACCTTTTTATACATTTTTAGCAAACAAAGCAGTGAATGTTCATTGCAGCATATCAAGGTTAGCTCAACAAACTTTACAGTTTTAGTTGTTTTTCCAGCCTGTGTTCCCACAAAATGAGTTTTGCTATATGCTAAGAATAATTTAAGAATAACACATTGTCTATAATTAATATATTCGTTATGATTAACAACTAAAGCTTATTTTAATAATTTTATCATTTCCAACAGGCTGACAAGAAAATAAATGTGATTTCTCTCTGTTAAGCCAGGATGTCCCTCCTTGATGCTCCCCTTGCCCAATCTGGCAAACTTTGGGCTGGTTTTGCTGCACAGCTGGAAGGTTTTTGGCATGTTTTCTTGCAAAAAAAAAAAATTGCTTAGCTGGGTCTGCAGTGGATCCCAGCTGCCCCCAGTGCAGGGGATCGGCCGAGGTGGGGGCTGTGCTGCAGAGGACAGAGAGATCTGAAGGCTGGGACAGCGGAGTTGCAAAAAAAAAAAAAAAAAATGCTTAGCTAGGTCTGCAGTGGATCCCAGTTGCCCCCAGTGCAGGGGATCGGCCGAGGTGGGGGCTGTGCTGCAGAGGACAGAGAGATCTGAAGGCTGGGACAGCGGAGGAAGGAGGAGGTGGGAGCCCTGCGAGGCAGAGAACACGAATTTATCTCTCACCATCTCCTGGTAGTTAAAGCCACAGAGCAGCTCCCCCCCAGAACCTTGTCCTGGGGAAAACAAACAGCCTCAGGCCAAGGCTTAGCCAAAAGCCTCTGTGAGAGTGGGATTTGGGCTGAAAACAAAGTTCTGGGGAGCATTTAGATAATTAACCTTATCAACATCTGAATTAACCTCTATCCCAGCAGTCACTGAGCCAGGTTTGGTGACATACAAGTCCTACATTTCCTTGCTTAGACAGAAGCCTCCAGATCCACCAACTCTTCACATGGTATTTTCTCTTTCAACCCCATCAACTTGTCCAGAATGTTGAACTCTGGGTATATTATCCCTCAGGAAAACAGGTATCCAGGAGAACCTGCCTTGTTCCTCTTTGTTCAGTCACTTAGTGCAGAGACAGGAAAAAATTCTCCTCTCTGTCCTGTTTTCCTCCCAGAGAAAGCAGCTCTTTAGCTGGAAAAGAGAAGGCTCAATGTGTTTACTACTTGAAAGCCACTGCCAAAACATTTTGTTTAGACTTTGTTTTCAAAACAAATCCATTTTCTGGTTTGAAATGGTTTCTTGCAATAAATTTTCAGTTCACTGGACACTGCTTTTTTTTTTATTTATTTTTTTTTTATTATTTTTTAAACAGGAAAGGAAAGCACCAGAGAAGTATTCCCAGAGAAACTTCTGCTTTAGCTGGAGACAGCTTTGAGTTTATCCACACCCTAACAGACAGGACATAAATCCCTTGGGATTATTCCAGAGAAACAAGGGAAAGGGTTTATCCTGCCTGGGCTGGGGATGGTTTGGGTTGGAAGCTGTCTGTTCCAAGAGCATTGGAAAATACCAGGAGTTGCTGGAAGGGAAAAAAGGAGTGAGACAAGGAGGACCTGAAATCACAGGGCTCCTGTGAATCTTTGTGATTCCTGCTTTTGGGATGTGCAGGGTCTGACAGTCACCCCTGGTGAGAATTTCCTTGGAATTGAGGCCCTGATCATCTCCACTCTGCCATTCCAGAGGGACTCAGCCCCCTCAGTGGGAATATCTCCAGGTCTCCAGGCTCTGCAACCTCTCTCTCCCATCCACAGCAGGGATTTATCCAGCCCTGCCTCTCTCCCTGCTCCCTGCTGCAGGTGGAACACCCTGCTGGACCTGCAGCCCCTTCCCTCTCTGATCCCAGGGGTCTGGGCTTGGAGAAGAGCTGTGTCACTGATAAAGGCAGCAGCTGGAGAGCACAGACTCAGAGCTGGTGCTCTTCCAGAAACTTCCCCTATTTTTTCCTTTTCCTTTTCCTTTTCCTTCCCTTTTTCCTCCCCTCCCCTCCCCTCCCCTCATCCATCTAGCTATTTTACCCAAATCTTTGGAATTTTCCACTCTCTGTGTTGTGAAGGAAGGGATGAACTTCCCCTCCTGAGCACCCACAGCAGTAACGTGACAGTGCTGGCACCCATCTGATCATCACTGTGACACCTCATCACATCCCCCAGCCTGATCTAGCTCATCCCAACCCATCTTATCACCAGCACACCTATCTTATCACCAGCACACCTATCTTATCACCAGAACAAGCTGGTTATCAGTTGTACACAGCACAAGCACAAAGTGACCTTTCCATCCCTCTCAGGTTTTGTTCAGCAGCACAAAAATGGGACCAAAACCAGCTCTGGGCTCCCTGACCTCTGTTTCAGAGCCCTGAGGAATTCTCTGAACCCACAGAAAGGAGATTTTCCTAGTTATTTTCCCTTCACCCACTGGGCTGTTCCCTCCTTGGCCAGCAGTGAAATGTCTGGCAACCATGAAGGCACAGAGCGCTTTGGGTCTGCCAAAAATGCACCTTTCCTCCCCTCCCCTCCCCTCATCCATCTAGCTATTTTACCCAAATCTTTGGAATTTTCCACTCTCTGTGTTGTGAAGGAAGGGATGAACTTCCCCTCCTGAGCACCCACAGCAGTAACGTGACAGTGCTGGCACCCATCTGATCATCACTGTGACACCTCATCACATCCCCCAGCCTGATCTAGCTCATCCCAACCCATCTTATCACCAGCACACCTATCTTATCACCAGCACACCTATCTTATCACCAGGACCCCTATCCTATCACCAGAACAAGCTGGTTATCAGTTGTACACAGCACAAGCACAAAGTGACCTTTCCATCCCTCTCAGGTTTTGTTCAGCAGCACAAAAATGGGACCAAAACCAGCTCTGGGCTCCCTGACCTCTGTTTCAGAGCCCTGAGGAATTCTCTGAACCCACAGAAAGGAGATTTTCCTAGTTATTTTCCCTTCACCCACTGGGCCGTTCCCTCCTTGGCCAGCAGTGAAATGTCTGGCAACCATGAAGGCACAGAGCGCTTTGGGTCTGCCAAAAATGCACCTCCAAATCTCACATCTCTCCATGGAATTCAGGTGAACCTCTGATCCTACACTGTCCCCTCCTCACCCTGCAGGACAGGAGATCCTGTTCCTAAATCCATCAGAAGGACGTGAGGCAGGGAGGGTCTGACTTCTCAGGGGTTGTCAGTGGCCTGGAAGAAAAATCTCCCATCCACCTTTGTTTGTTTTCCTACTTTCCCTCCCTTTTTATATTCCAAGGCTTTCCTAGCTCAGAGCAGCCAAACCACACCCAACACAACCAGTGCATCCATGGACTGAGCCATGGCTACCTCTGCTCTGCTCCCAGGAGATCCCACCTGGAATTCTCTGCACGGTTCTGGTGCTCCCAGCATGAGAAGGACACAGAACTGTCCTTGGAACCAGTCCAGAGGAAGCCACAGAGCTGACAAGGGGACTGGAGCACCTCTGGGTGGTGGGGCACACTGGGACACTGCAGGCAGGTCCTGCAGCGAGCCAGGAGGTGCAGGGAGCATCGATGACACCCATGCCACAAAGACAGGTTATTTGTGTCCCTAACTGCCACCAGCCAGCAGAGACAGTGTCAGTGGTTTCAGCAGCTGATTCTCTGGGCTGGTTCTTGGGGCCATCACCAATGAGCTTTGGCCACTGGATGTGCCCAGGGGACAGGGCCTGGTGTCCCCCTGGCCTCCTCAAGGCCTCTGCTCTGCTGAGGAGGCACTTCTGGGGCCTTGTTCTTACAACCTGGAGGATTTGTGGGTACCCAGGAATTTGGCTCTTGATCCGAGGTCCCCTTGGGTCTCATCCTGCTTCTCTCCTCCACTTCTGGGCTCTCCCCTCTGTGACCTTCAAGTCTTCCTCCTATGGCCTCCAACTCTCCCTCCTGTGACCTCCAACTCTCCCTACCTGGGATCTCCAACTCTCCCTACCTGGGATCTCCAACTCTCCCTACCTGGGATCTCCAACTCTCCCTACCTGGGATCTCCAACTCTCCCTACCTGGGATCTCCAACTCTCCCTACCTGGGATCTCCAACTCTCCCTACCTGTGATCTCCAACTCTCCCTCCTCTGACCTTCAGCTCTCCCTCCCCTGACCCCCAGCCTGGCTTTGTGACTCTGGGCCAGCCTGAGGGATCCTCAAACTGAGCAGAGAAATAATTGGGTGTCAACAGGTTAAAAAACGCCTTCAATAAATAAATTTTGCTGTTGAATCAATTGATTAAATTAATCTACAAAGTCATTGCTGACAGAACTGCTTCTCTTTGCTGCCCTGGCTCATCCATCAGCTGGGAAATGCTGTGGCCACAGCTCCAGGTTGTGTGTGTGTGGGGGGTTGAGCTGGCAGGGCTTGAGGGCCCATCTGAGGACCTGGCCAGGCCTTGCTTTGTTTCCACCAAAAGCTCTGATGGCATAAAAACTTTCCCCAGAACTCTTCGGTTGGGCCTTGTCAGCGTTCTCAGGTGGAAAACTCTTCTGTTGGAAAATTCCTGTCCAACCCAAGTCATTTATTCCTGGGGTCAAGGAGTGGGTGTAGAGCACGGTCCTGGCAGGGCTGTGGCACTCCCCACATCCTTTGATGTGATGGAAACAGGGATGTGGTGGAGCAGATCCTTCCCCTGACCTACAAAATCCACGTGCCACATCATCCTGGGCAAGATTTTGGCCATGTGCCAGTGAATTTTGGGCACAGACTGGAATGACAAATAGTCAACAGCCCTTGACCTAAAAAAGAATGAAAAAATCCTGTAAAGGTGAGAAGCATCTGAGGTGTGTTGATATGTCCTTATCTTCTCCCAGGGATGGGATGAGAGGAAATGGCCTCAAGCTGCTCCAGGTGAGGTTTAGATTGAATATTAGGTGGAATTTCATTCATGGAAAGGGTGGTCAGGCACTGGAAGGGTCTGCCCAGGGCAGAGGTGGAGTCTCCATCCCTGCAAGTGCTCAAAAAACCTTTGAGTGTGGCACTTGGGGACACAGATTAGTGGTGACCATGGTGCTGTTGGGTTGATGGTTGGACTTGATGATCTTGAAAGTATTTTCCAACCTTAATTCCATGATCCTCTGTGTA